ATATATACATATATATATATACATATATATATATAATAAATCTAGCTTGTACTAAAAAATCCAGCCTGTACTAATTAAACCCTCTCTGAATTAAGCATGATTTATTCAAGTAATTTATTGCTTGAATAAATCTCCTGTACCAAAGTCAACACCTCTAAATAATTAGATCCATCATATGTGCAACATCAAACCCTAAATCAATACATGGAAAACATGCCAAGGAGATGTGACCTACTGTTCCTTGATTTTGATCCTCGATTCTTGGTTATTTCTTCAACACAAAATCTCAAGTTGCTGATTATTTATATTCTTGGCTTTCCTGCCTGTTTCCAATCCAATCTACATCACTTTTAAGAACTACTGTTCCCACTGTTCAGAAAGGTTGGGAGGACAGCCTTCACTGTTCATCAATCATCAATGTTGTTGTTATCAGCCTCAATCGAAACATATTGTTTACTGTGAAAATTCTGTAGATATATATATATTTAAATTCAGTGGTTCATATCTTATCCACGTACTTAAACTTCTTGATGAGATGGTATTAATCAAAATTTGAAGGAACTCGTGTTGTTCCTTCACAGAATGCCTGATTTGTAATTGGTCATATTTACCTGATTCGTTTCTTTCCGTGATACTCGACACTAAGGAATAGAGTGCTCAACTTGAAGGATCATTCGGCATGTCACATTCCTCGGGGAAAGGATCACAATGTCTGTCATGTTCAGTCATGGCGAGGTGCCAACACTATCCTCGTCGGTGCGAAATGGACATCAAACGACTCTGGTGTTGCATTTGGCAGGTACGATGTGCTTGATTCATGTTTTCTTGTGCAAAGAGGTGGACATGACGTCGGATTCTTTGTCAGCAACAAAGAGTGACGCGGCAAAGTTAGTGAAAGGTAGATGATGATGATGCTTTCTTCCCAGTATGAGCTTTTGATATGGAGAAGCTTCAAATAACAATTTAGTTGTTGTTCTGTGGTTGTTTTGCTTTTTGGTGGATGTGGAAAGGCATTACAATTTGATGATCTTGAAAGGTGTTTCTTTTTTTCTTTTTCTTTTTTATCATATCAAACATATCATTTCATTAATGAAAAGTACATCTACTTCCTTTATATCTAATTGAAAGAGTTAGATAAGTGGTAGCCAACAGTTAATATGATTAGATCTACATCAATCAATACTAAAGTAATCTAAAGGCTTGAACTATTAAAATTGGGATCAAACATAATTTTGTATCACCTGAACTAGCTCCTAGCAATATGAATATTTTAGTCTATTCTTAGTGTAATCTTTTTTTTTTTACTAATTTTCATCTAACTTATAATTTTTTTTACTAATCACCCTTAGTGAATTATGATTTATTCATATAAATATATATTGATTTTTATAATTTTATAATTGATATAAAAATTTAATTTTTCTTTATGAATGTAAATAAAATTTATCAAATTATATTAAATTTTATATTAATTTTTAATATAATTTTTGATTAATTATTAATCTTTATTATTTTTTTAATCCTCCGATAATATAAGACATGAAAGAGGAACATGTTAAACTAAGGGAAGACTCATGTTGTTGTAGGACCCCTTCAATAGTTGAGATCACTTAGGAGGTCAACTTTTGTGGGGGCATCATGTGGGACGTGGCCCTCTCTCCCAAGCCAATTGTCCTTAGAATTGCCTCGGTGGCTTTCTTATTTGTCTTTTAATCATCAGAATTTTTTTAGAGAGTTGTAATATGTTAGATTAAAGACAAATTCAAGACTCTTGAATTTTGTGAAAGTGAAAAAAAAAAAGTGTATATGATAGAAAAAAAAAACATTTATTTTGTCTTTTGGTCAGTTTTTTTTTCTTATTGAGAGTGGTGCATTATTGAAATAAAATAGTTTTTATAAGAAATAAACTTTCTCCAATAAATTCTTATATTATATTCAATAAATATATTAATTAAATTAACAATTATAATAAGGTTTTAAAATGTTTAATTAAAATAATTAAGAATACATAAATTTTGAATTAAGATATGGCACACATGGGGAAGCTTTTTAGTTTCATTTTAATATACATATTTGCTAAGCCCAAATCATTAACTTAAAATAATAATAATAAATTAATAATAAAATAATCAAATTCTTATAAATTAATCTTAATCTTGATTCATTTTCGGTTTTACTATAGTGATTAGAAAAAAGAAGTGAGAGTAGTGTAAGTAGAATTCCACTCTGTATGAGCGACAGATTAATCAATGAATAGTTGCATACAAATATATTAATATGCAATATATATATAAGTTAGTTTATATTTATTTTTCTAAAAAAATGACTTATTTGAATAAGGTAGTTACCTACAAGTTGCGTATAATTCTTTTTTATAGTAAAGATTATTGTTGTTTTTAGAAAATAAAATAAATTAATAAGGGCCACTGATATGATTTTTTTCATTTTGTTCACATATGATATATTTGTATGTTACGATAATAATAATAACACACTTATTACTTCGTTATCATCTAATAACTTCATTTCATGTCGTAACTTAGATTACGAACGGAAGTTGTAACACAAGAGGTGGTCAGGGAAGGGGGCAAGATGAAATCCTCGAGTCCTGAGGTGAATCATGTGTTGTGTGGATGCATAACAAAATTTTCACTTTCCTCAATCAATGATGTCCTTTTTTTTTTTAAAGCAAAATTATATTAATTAAATTATAAAATTACAAGAAGAGCTTTGCATATCAAAATATAAAAAAAACTGATCAACATTTCCTCTCCAAAAAAAAATCTCTGATCCAATTTAGTATATATGACTAACTAATTAATAGTTTTATTCTTTTTTCTATATACATTTATCATAAGAAAGAAATCAAAACACTCAAGAACATATCTATTATCCCCAATTGATCGATGATCATAAAGGTTGCATTCGTGCATCAATTGATCGAGGAGGCACTTCTACCCCCCATGAGTTCCCCTGCTTCACATACTTGTTCATGGCAGAATATAATTCAATGCCTTCGAATAAGGCACAGTAGTAGATCATCACAGAGGTATGTCTTTTTTGTGCAAAATATTTTATTAGGGAACAAAAGAGAAGAGAATGCGCTGATGTTTGCCCTCAGAAATAGTGTCTGAGATAATCAATTTATCAAGCAATAATTTTTGTTTTTGAATATTTACACGTACCGAAAGAAGCCTAATGAGCAAAAGCCTGACAGCTAAAGTCAAGAATCATTCCTTCTGAGACACTGCAAACCACGTAGAGTACGTTCATATATTTGAATCAGTTCAAATGACACCCGACAATGGATAATTGAATCCTCCTTTAATGGCATGACTATTTTAATCTCTCTCTTCCATAGGGAAACGCAGTACAGAGAGAGAGAGAGAGAGAGAGGGTACAAAACAATATTGGCCATAAGCTAACTAGTTTCCGACACAAGCAAGAGAAGGAGAGATCGATCCTTCTCCGAGAGAAGGAGATGATAGTATGTAAGTAGTGGTATCAGTCAGAGGAAGCATGTATCAGATTACATCTCCC